ATACTTAATAAATATTTATATTTTATAGTATATAGTAATATTTAAATTAATTATGTATATTAATCACCATTTTAAAAATACACTGCTTTAATCAAAAACCGGATTATAAATCGTCAATTTTTAAATTATCAGATTTTAATTAAATTGGGTAAAACTTGAAAATTTGGTTGAATTTTTAGATCGAACCAATTTTAATAAAAAAAATTAGAATTAATTTTATATTAATATATGTTTTTTATAAAAAATATAATATATTTTAATTTTTTTATCTCATATTAATTATTAATTTTATCAATTTTAAATAATAATTATTTTATTATATTTTAACAATTATTTATTTTATATTTTCTAGTATATTTTTATTTTCTTGTTATCAAGTAATTATGATAATAAATTATATATTTTTTAAAATATTTTTATTAATTAATTATATTATATTATAAAAATATTATTTTATTAAATATTACTAGACTTTAATTAAATTTTTAAACTCTATATTCACTGATTTAAAAATACAGTGCAATTTAAAAATTGATCTAATATAGAAGGAGAAAATCTAATGAAGTTAAAATTAGCAACTGAGATACGTGTTACTCCGCACACTCAACAACTCCATAAGAGTTTAAGTACAAAACCCTGTAACACTTCGCATATAAAATATTAAATATCAACAACTTCATATATAAAATATTAAATATTAAAATAAATATACGAAAATTATTATTAAATTCATCTCACGTAATGTAAGTTATTATAACTCTACTTAATGTTTTCATATGGTACTTTCTAAAGATTTTATATTAAATGTTACGCAATATAACATTTTTTATACCCTTTTTGTTTATTATTGATTCAAAATTCAGTGTAAGAATTCACCAGCTTTGCCCCAAGTAAAATTTTTACGGATTTTTTTTTCAATAGCAAGTGAAATAAATCAACACGAAGTTAACATGATTTTTTTTCCATATAAAAATTCAACTTTGCTAATTATAACAAAAAATTATGATTATAAAGAGAAACAATAGGTCAATATAAAAAATTAAAATATTTATGACTTAAAGTTAAATTACACTAATTTTATCTGATTAATTTAGTCTCTAATTTAGATGAGGTTAGATTAAGTTAATTTATAAGTCTATGATATATTTTATAAAAATGTAATTATTATTAAATAAAATAAAAAAATATTAATATATATATATATATATATATATACATTAATAATTTAAGAAAGAACTCATTTACTTTAAAAATTAGAGTTAGTGATTTATTAATTTTTATAATATAATAATAAAAATAAATTACTATTTTAATCAACAAAATGGATAAAAATAATAATAATAACAATAAATAATAATTAATTCTTATTTTTTGATTAAACGAATATTTTATTTTGTAATTAAACTTTATTAAAATAATTTAAATTTTAAAAATATTTATTTATTTATTTTTGAATAAATTATTTTTTAAAGAATAAATAATTGATGTGGACATGCATAAGATAGCATTAAAAGAACAAACCATATACAAACACGCGGGGTCCGGAACTCATTTACAACCTCCTCTATAAAACCAAAAGGAATTGAAGAGTGTTTCTGCTTTTATAATAATTATATTATGATTTTTTATATTTAAATTGACTAAAAATTATAATTTATTTTAAAATATAAGTAAAATTAAATCATTAATTTTTATTATTTATCAAACTAAGTTGAATTAGTTTTCATAGTATAAATAAAAATATCATTTTAAATTTATGTGTGACCATATTTAAAAGACAAAATATAAATCATATTATTATTATTATTATTATTTAAAAAAATTTGGAACAAAAATGATAGGTATAAATCAAATAACTTTGAATTTAAGTAAATTAAACGAGACAAGACATCATTAGTATTAGAAAATAATTAGTCTTAAAGAAATAATTGGAAGGCGATCAAGGGAGAAAAATGACAGTATAACGTAATTAAAAAATATATAATTTTAAAAGGATACAATGATGTTTGAGAGTATGATTAAGAGTTACAAAAATTTCCCAACTATAAGTTAACAACAAAAAACGAAGTAACATCGTAAAAAGAATGAAAGACAAAAGAGTAGTTAGTTTAAGAAAAATGTGCAATTATCTTTTAAAACAATTATAAAAACAATTATTTATAGGATCATGCAATAATTAAAAATGTTTATGGAAATACACTTCATAAAAAAAAATCCGTGTATTTCCTTTTTCATGAAGTGTTTTTAAAAATATTTTTTATCCTTTAATTTTTTTCAAACTAAAAAATTGTTCTATTTTATTAAAATATTTTTTTACAATAATTTTTGTTTTTAATTTTAAAAAACTAAAAATTCAAAAGGTTAATAAAATACATTATTATTTTAATTATATATATATATATATATATATATATATATATATATATATATATATATAAGTGTGTGTGGTTGTATTAAATCAATTACTCACATTTTTATAATATTATTCTTGTATTAAAAATATTCTAGAACCTCTATTTTATTGCAAGTGTACTTCTCTTCTATATAAAATAATTTTTAAAGCAGAATTGTTAAATATTTTTTTATCAATTTATTCTCAAAAAAAATTAAAATAATTTTTTTTTCAAAAACTAAATAAACAAATCCTAAATTTTTATATAAGCCAAATTTAGCATATTAAATACCTACATTTATGTACACCTACACTGATTTACATATGACTCAACAATTTTGGGTTGGTGTCTTTCCTTCTACTCTCTGGTTTATCTTGTCTACACTTTTCTTTTTTATTTATTGTTAAAAATAAGGTAATTTATTTTTTGTTTTAATCATTTTCTAACCTATAAATTCATGTATTAACTGATGGTATATTAGAGTATGTATGAGAAATTTTAGTCTTTAATTCACTTTGATCCTCTTATCCTTTTCTTTTTGGTATTTAGTGCTTGATTTCACATTGAATCATAGTTTATGTGTTTTGTTACAATTTTTTTATCGTTTGATTTCACTGTTGATATTCAATACAATATCAAAGCATTACTTCTTCAATTTTTTGGTTTCTTTTCACTTTTCATACTATTTTGTTACTCAATCAGTGATTTATAAGATTGATATTATTGTTTGCACTAGTACAAGATAGACAAAAGACGATGTTGTTAGAAAAAGATGCAATGACAATTTTCAAATTATTTTTAATTTTTTAATGACAATTAATTTATAAGTATTTTTATATATAACATATGACGACGATTATAAATAGAATCATCATATTTTTAACCTTTTAATAATGGTGTTTTTATGATTGTCGTTATATGTCACATATGACAATGATTATAAAAAAACTATCGTCATATGTCATATATGACGATGATTATTTACAAAACCGTCATTTATATCTCGTTAAAATTTTAAATTTCATCCATTCTGTTCATTTCATATTTGTGTTTCTAGTTCTATTTTCTTCTTCTCTCCTTTTTTTTCTATTTTCCTTTGTTGCAACTTTTCTCTTCTTTTGTTCATTGTAATTAAACTCTTTTTTTCTTCTTCTCCCTCGTTCTTTCTCAAAGTGTTCCTCTCCACCATATACCGTACATGTCTCCACCACATGTCTCCAACACACTTATTAGACGCGTTAAAACTGAGTTAGAAGAACAATAATGAGAAGTTGGAGAGCAGAGTTGTCATGTTGTATTACCTATCTGATTATTGTGACGCTTCTAAATTTGTTATTTGTTGTAGTAGAGCAACTTTTAAGTTTGCTATTTCTTGTGGCGGAACAACTAAGTTTGTTGCGACGAAGTAAAATAGTATTTTTAGCATACGATGATGGTTATAAATATAATTGTCATCGTATGAGTAATTTATGATGACGGTTCAAAATCATTGTTGATTTATTAATTTTTAAAGATGGTTGAAACAATGACGACTCAAAAACCGTTGTTATAGCCTTTTGTTAACCGTTGATATGACCTTTTGTTAACCATCATATCTTATTTGATTTTGATCCACCAAAATCAGTACTGGTGTTTATCTTCTCTATACTTTTCTTTATTTATTTTCTATTTTTCATAGCTCTTTCTATTTTATATATATATATATATATATATATATATATATATATATATATATTTTTTTTTATAATATGCATTTACTCTCATTAAACTTGATAATTAAAAGTCATTTATCTTTGATGAAAATATAATATTATATTTTAAAATATGATTAATTATAGTTAATTTTAAAATATATTAGATATAGGTTCCTAACATATTCGTTTTAAGAAACAAAGGAATGTATATTAACAAATTCCTCTGTATATTTATGTTACTGAGAACTCAAACCATAATTGAATGGAGATAATTTTTATAATGGAACAAATTATTAATATGAAATTAATAAGATTGACACAACTACTGAGTTGTAACCTTCTACAAAGAACTATAAAACTTGAACATTTTGTGAGTGAATGTTATAAACTGTCATTATCTTTGCTTATAAATCTAAAACTAGCCATCATCTTTACTTAACTACTCCATAAAGTAACTCAGTTGACACCATTAAAGGTATCACCTACGTCGTCAAAAACATATTATAAAATGATAATATGAAAACAAAATTATTTTCGGCAAGAAAAAAAAAATATATATATATATATATATATATATAATATTTTAAATTAAACGGTTACATTTGAATTATTTAAAGTTATTAAATTAAAAAAAATGAATTTTTTTCTATTTCTATACTAAGTTTGTACTTTTTTACCAAATGCTTGCAACAATTTGTATTTTATAACACGTTTTATGCATTCTTCATTAAAATATATATAAGAGGATGAAGTGAGCTTTATGAATAAAATAGTTGTGCCCAACATTTGTTTAATCCTGGACCTATGCATGGAACGTCCACATATGTGTATAAATAGGCATCACATTTGCGAACATAACACACACTTCTCTCAACTTCTATTCTATCTTCTTCTCAACCATTTGTTCCAATCGATGGCTCATTTGCTTCTTGTTGTTTTGCTGTTTTCTGCTCAACTGATTTCTGGATTCAGTATCCAAAAACTACCTCCATCAGACTATGGAAACGTGATAACTATTTTGAGTATTGATGGTGGTGGTATTAAGGGGATTATTCCAGCAACAGTTCTTAATTACTTGGATAAGGCTCTTAAGGTTTGTTATTATTGTTAATATTATATATGTATTCGAATGGCATGAGTGAATGAATATTTATGAGGTTGTTTTGAATTTGATTGAGTGGCAGGCTAAGGATCCGGATGCAGATTTAGCACATTATTTTGACGTGATAGGAGGGACAAGCACTGGTGGACTCATAACAGCTATGTTAGCTGCCCCAAGCACTGAAGACCCCAATCATGCCGCCTTTACTCCTGCACAAATTGTAGACTTCTACATAAACGAAGGCCCTTCTATATTCAACACATCTAAGTATAATAATCTTAATATCTTAAAAACATCATCAATATTAATAATTAACATAATCTAATAACATACTTCTGTTTTTGATGATGAACCAACCAACATGCAGCCCTGGAAAAGGTCCCCAATTTGATGGGAAGTTCTTACATAACATAACTCGTGAGAAGTTGAAGGACACAAGACTTAGTCAAACATTGACCAACGTTGTAATTCCAACTTTCGACCTCAAGAGACAAAAGCCAGTTATATTCTCAAGCTACAAGGTTAGCTAGCAGCGTATATGCATATATTTTTTGAATATATTGACAACATGCATTAATATAATGTTTTGGTGATGCAGCTTGAGAGTGCTCCCTACTTAAATGCCTTGTTGTCGGATATATGCATATCGACTTCAGCTGCACCCACCATTTTACCACCCTACTATTTTGTGAATAATGGTGTCGAGTTCAATATGATTGATGGTGCTGCTGCAGCTGGGAATCCGGTAAATTAATTTAATAATTCATAAAAAGACAAGTCAACTATGGTGCATGGGTATACATATACTATAAAATGTATCAAGTTTAACAAAATCAAGTTTAATTTGATTAGACACAAGCTACAGTGAGTGAAGTGTTACAACACAATAAGTACCCCAAAATCCTAGTGTTGTCTTTAGGGACTGGAACAACAGCAATTGAGGAGATCTATGATGCTCAAACGGCAGCACATTGGAACCAGCTTAACTGGTTAGGCGTTATAAGTGATCTTCTTGCTCGTGGTTCAACAGCCATGATTGAATTCTACCTTGCTTCACTCTTCTCAGGCTTCCAACCTGAAAATACCTACCTTCGAATTGAGGTATATGCTTTATTTTTATTTATTGGTCGTAATAGGGTTTAATTTTTCTTAACACTTATGTAAGGTTTCGGGATTAAATATTTTAGAATAATTGATGAATCATGTAATTAATGTCAGGAATATAACTTGGATCCTGCTTTCTCCAACCTGGTTGATGTTACACCAGAAAATTTGAAGGGTCTTAATGACACCGGAATAAATCTGTTACAAGAAAATGTTGTGAGAATGAATTTGGATACTTTTGATATAGAAGACGCAGGCGAAGGAACAAATGCTGAGGCTCTTGACAGGTTGGCTGAGATTTTGTATGAAGAAAGACAGGATCGTCTGAAACGAAAATCTACTAAAAGAGGAGGAAGATCATTTCTTGAAACTCGTAGGATTCCTTCAGACAAAACCCTATCTAATTGGGCATTTCTAAACAAAATATTTATATAATTATGATGTGTGCTTTATCAAGGGTTGTTATAGTATGTGTAGAATAAGGTTGAAGCAAGTGAGTTCTATGCAGCTCTTAAAGCTTGGAAGAACCATGAATAATATAGCAAGTATGAATGTATGATATAAGATTCAACGCGTGAGAGTTCTATGCATCTCTTATTGCAAGAACTATGAATAATGTAACAACTATCAATGTATAATAATATTATGCTCAACGCATGTGTATTCTATAAGTTCTTGTTTCTTCTTTTGTTTTAAGATGACCACAATAGGTTAACACCATTCATTGGATTCATCAATGTTGTGTACTTCATAATTAATTGTTTATATTTTTAAATTTAACCTTTTTACATAAAATTTTTAATGATTCATTAAGGTCAAAGAAAACGTAAAAGTATTCGGATTTAAATTTAATAATAATAATAATAATAATAATAATAATAATAATAATAATAATAATAATAATAGTTATTCCTTAATATGTAATAGAAAATATCATTCATTAAAATATATGCAACAAATTTCTTATTTTTAGTTAGTAGTGTTTTTTATTATAATTTGGTGTAATTAAAATATGAGATCAATTAAGTAAGTTGGATGTAGATAACTTCTCATGGAAATTCCACCTCCACTTATCCTCTCTGTTCATTTTTTATTATTAAAACATAACTTTATCTGTCGCATCTATGGGAAATTGAGAGTCAAAAGTATTTTTAATAAAAAAAATTAAACCAAATTCCATTACAAACACCCTAAATAAGACTCGAAACTGCATTCGTTGCATCAAAGTTTGCATCAAAGTAGAAACTTCGGGGAATGTGGATTATTACATGACTTTAAAATGTGTACGGATTGGTTGAGGTTTGATTTTCCAAAACTAGTATATAAATCAATTTGAAACCTTTAGCAACTAGTTTTTTTTTAGATTATGTAAACATAGTTTTTTTTTTTCTTCTCTTTCTATATTTTATGGTATCTAGAGCCAATTTTGTCATCTGCTCTCTCCTTTAGTAGTGTCACCCCAATTCCTTCTACTTATTGCTGTTCCCTTTTTTCCCACACTTTCAATACACCATCAACCTCAAACTAGATGATGACAACTATTTAATTTGGCATAGCAAGTTCTTGCTATTGTTTAGGGTCTTAATCTCATACAATTTTTAGAAGGTTCTTGCACGTCAACATGATACCCAAACGAAGAAGTTGTAAATAATATTGTTTCTCAATATTTTCTCAATCATGAATAGTAGAATCAGCTTCTCAATCACCAAAATTGTGGGTCTTCAAACCTCTTCTCAGATTTGAGATTGCCTGCACATATTATGCTAGTCAAACTAGAGTCAAAGTAAAAAATCACAAGATTCAGTTTCGCCAAACAAAGAAAAATCACCAACTACCTTGATATCAAGAAAATGGTGGATTTAGCTGCTGCGGTGGATTCTCCGATTATCTCTGATGATAATATTGATGTTATCCTCGACGATGTATTGGAAGATTGTAACATTTTTGTCACCTGTCACTTTAAGAATAGACCCTTATAATATAGAAGATATTGAAGCGCTTTTATTGACCCAAGAAGAACATTTTGAAAAACACAATCCAAGAACAACAAATTAAGCAGGCCAATAGAAAACTTGACGGGCCATAACAAGTTTACTTCTTAGGCCCTCATCGATACGTGATCAATCTGGTCTAATGGACCATCTCTTTATAATAGTAGTGAGTCCTTCATGGGAGGAATCAAAGAGGAAGATGGAGGGACAATGATAAGAGGCGAAGGAACCTCAACATTAGTTGGCCTCTGTTGCCGTTGAGTCTGCCCATCGCTGAACTCCTTAGATACATTAATAAGAAGTGGAATGTCAGGATTAGGAGTGGACATAGCAGTAGCACCACTACTCGCCTTTGCTTTCTTGGTCGGCCTCAAAGATGGTTTGCTTGTTTGCCCCTCAGCACCTCTCAGCTTGGCAATGGCGTCCAGAGGAGCAATACCCGACTTGGCACAAATCTTTTTATTATCAAAAGAGCTCCCCATTACTTATGTTAAAAAAAAAAAAGACAAACACAATTCATGAAATACAAATATAACATACTCGAAAAAATTACATCAAGCAACGATGACCCTTTCTGGAAAAGATCAGGCGTGTTTACCCTTGGAATCGGTGGAAGTACCACCAATCGAATATACCTCACTGAGAGGTGAGATGACATTTGCGTCCCGAAGAGTTCAATATGAAAAAAAAAAAAAAAAGACATTCTTTTAAACGAGAAAAAGAGGAAATGTCAACTTAATAATTAAAAGAAGAAAAAACCAAAAACAATTAAAGAATGAGAGTTGCTAAATAAGAATTTACAATTAAAATAAAATATAAAAAAAAATAAAACTGATAATAGATAATAATAAAATTTTATTACTGAAAAAAAAATACAATATTTTTTTTTAATTTTTGAAGAAAACAATATTAATATCTTCTTTAAAAAAAAATCAATTATTACATAATGCACTAACAGAAAAGAGAAGAAGAGATTTATGATAATTTATAAGATAGACATTCTTCTCGTTTTATAATATTAAAAGTAAATATCAATATATAATTTTTTTAACGTGAAACTTTTTTTCTCACATTCTCTCACTTGAAGATTTTGATTAAATTAATCAAATATTCAAATATATTATTATTATCTTCCATGTTATTTTGTAATAAACCATTAGTAGAATCGTCTCTATGTAAATTTGTCATCGATAATCAACTATCATAACATCTCGATAGGTTCTTCTTGTTTTGTCTTGAAATTCACGGCAGAATTTCTTACAATATGTAAGACAAAATATTACAATACACAATAATTTGTTGTTGCTTGTGTTCGAACTCCTCCATTATCCTTTTAATCCAGAGGTCATCCCTTAAAAGATCATTAGGAGCATGACTAGAAGGGAGACCTCTTTCTCACCCTCCATTTTAAATTTTTTTAGCATTTTTTTCTTAAATTTTAGAGACTCATTTTAATATTTATTTTATAGGACCACTTTATGCACCTCCTTTTTTAAGACTACCACCTCTTTTTGGTGAAAAAGAAGGTCTCGACATATGATTGTTTGGGCTATCCAAAGGTGTAAAACACTTCTTTTCATGTCATACATTCCTTTTTGGAGAGGAAAAAACTTGGGATACGAGATTGGTAGGTTTAGGATAACCCAAAAAGAAACATACATATTTTTTTCATATTCTCCACATCTCCTATTGTAATTCCATCTAGGTCCCTCCCCCAAAAACTTATAAAAAGAAGGTTTTTCCTCATGTAATTAAGTTGAACATTTATGACAAGTTTGTGAGGTTTCTTAAAGTGTTTCATCTCTTTGAATGTTTTATCTTAAACCTTGGTTCAAGTGGCAGCAACTACCACTTATCTAGGATGACTTATTTCCTAATGGCATGTCAACACTCCATCACCATCATACTTCTTTTTTCTTCATCTTTTCTTCTTTATTTCTTTACTCCATTTATTAAAGGGTTGGTCCATTTTTCCAACCCTTGTATTTATTCTTTTCTAATTTTATTTCATCTCTTCATTCCTCCACAATTTTTATAAATGAACATTCACATCTAGATAGACAACTATCTTAATATGCAGTAAAAAAAAAAAGTTTCGTTGAATTTATTTATTTTATTGTTTAAAATTTTATACCTTATCTTTTTAAAATTATGTAACTTACTTTATTTTAGATCACATAATTTATTAATTGGTGAATTTAGATAATATCATAACCCCATTGTAAGATTGAGAAAAAACAATGAGTTGTGTCACTGATATTCATTCTATAGCCTTACTTTTTAGGAAAAGCCACGAAGAAGACTGATAGGTACAAATTATTGTACTCTAATTGTTTAGCAAGGTATTTATCAACAATTAAAAACAAAAGACCTTCCGAATCATACAATTCACAATGTGTAAGCAAAAACTCCTATTTTAATATTTGAATGGAGGCAACTAAAGTCTATAAATACCCTTCATATTTGAGAAGAATCCTAAAGGCTTCAACTTCCATTCTCTTTTTCTCTTAAAATTAACCCCTTCAATATGTTATCTCCAAAGTTAGTTTTATAAAATCGAATTATATACTTATTAATTTCTAATAATCATTATGACATATTTCATCCATCGCAAGTAATAATGTTTTATTAATGCACCAAAATGAAAAATTATTAATACACCAAAATGAAAAGATTGAAAAGAAATGCATTAGAAAATATAGTGGACTAATGGATATTTTGGCCTCAATTCATGTAATTCCGGTGTTCTCTTTACTTTATGCAAAGTTCTTATCCGTTTTTAATAGATTCGTAAATCTCTTATTAGTTAAGAATTAAGAATAATAACAATTTATATATTTTTTATTTTTTTAATTTATTAAAATATTTTAAAAAATAAAATTATAATAAATTAAATTATAAAATGAACAATATTTTAATTATGATAATAAATCTTAACATTATTATAACACTGAATACGAATACCATGTTCGAATAATTTCGTTCTTTAATCAAAACAATTTTCAATTCTTTAATCAAAACAATTTTCAAAATAAAAAAAATTGTTAGACAATTTTTATTTTTTCAAATAATCCACTGACAACTTCCTTTATTTATAAAATAACTTTTAATTAATTTTATTTTAATTTAATCATTTTATCAATATAATAATAGATGTATATTAAAATATGATTAGTTATATATAATAATCCTCAAATACTTAGAACTTCGTATATGTTGAAACAAATGATTATTTTATTTATTTATTAATGTTTATAGACAAATAAAAAATTATACATTTTCAACAAAGAGAAATTTTTCTAGAGTAGCACGTATTCGTTTTTTAATTACTCGAGATAGCATAATGTAGGTTTTATTTACCTAGATAGCACAATTTTTTGTTAAGTTGAGAATTCAATTTTCCGAATACTGAAACCTAAACGTAATTGTATTTTATAATTTTTCCAAACAATTTAGAATTCGATTTTTCGACAACAGAATTCAGAATAGTTTTCCTTTTATTTTGTTAAGAAAAAAACTAACTAATATATATATATATATATATATATATATATATATATATAATATGTTATAATATTTTATTTAACATTTATAGTTTTAAATTAGGTATTTAAAAAAATTTTATATTTCTAAAATTAATAATATATTTAGATTTATTGTTGAAAGTAGTAAAATAATATTTTTAAAATATATTATTAAATATTATATTTAAATTTATTTGTATGATTAAACTTTTTTTATTTTTTGATTTATTTGATATTATAATTTTTTTAGAAATTAATAATAAATTAGGAGGATAATAAAAATCTTAAAAATTATATGTATATAAGAAGAAATAATATTTTGATGTAAAATTATATATATATATATATATATATATATATATATATATTCTAAAATATAATATATATTAATTACTATAATATAAAATATATATTCCAAAATATAACTTATTTTCATTTATATATATATTATAGAAATTAAAATAAATTATATTTTAGATATATATATATATATATATATATATATATATATATTAAATATAAATTATTTTCAAGTTGATAATTATTATTCTAATTTATGCAAAATATATATATGATAGCGGTTCCAGTTTAACTGCTCTTAAAAGTGATCTGTATGATAGCGGTTCCAGTTTAACCGCTTTTAAAAGTGATCTGTATGATAGCGGTTCAGGTTTAACCGCTATTATATGTTAAAAAACTAATCGATTATTTCAAAAAGTAATCGATTAGTTTTTCATACTTGAGAACCGGTTATTTTTTTAAATAATTGATTAATTTTTAAATAATCAATTAGTTTTTCAAATATATATTAAATAATTATAAATAAAAAAATATATCTAATTAAAATTAAAAAAATTATTTCTAAATTATATATATTATATAAATTATAAATATAAAGTTAAAAAAAATTATATTTAAAATTATAACCTTAAAAATTATAGTTAAAAAAATTATATAATTGTATATAAGAAGAAATAATATTTTGATGTAAAATTATATATATATATATATATATATATATATATTCTAAAATATAATTTATATTAATTACTATAATATAAAATATATATTCCAAAATATAACTTATTTTCATTTATATATATTTTATAGAAATAAAAATAAAATATATTTTAGAATATATATATATATATATATATATATATATATATATATATATATTAAATATAAATTATTTTCAAGTTGATAATTATTATTCTAATTTATGCAAAATATATATATGATAGCGGTTCCAGTTTAACCACTCTTAAAAGTGATCTGTATGATAGCGGTTCAGTTTAACCGCTATTATATGTTAAAAAACTAATCGATTATTTCAAAAAGTAATCGATTAGTTTTTCATGCTTGAGAACCAGTTATTTTTTTAAATAATTGATTAATTTTTAAATAATCAATTAGTTTTTCAAATATATATTAAATAATTATAAATAAAAAAATATATCAAATTAAAATTAAAAAAAATTATTTTTAAATTATATATATTATATAAATTATAAATATAAAGTTAAAAATATTATATTTAAAATTATAACCTTAAAAAAAATTATGATTATAAAATTAATAAAAATATAACTATTTTTAATGTTAAATAAATTATATATATTATATAATATATATATATATATATATATATATTACATAAATTAAAATTACATATATGAACTCTAAATTAATTTTATATATAAAATTTACATAAATAAAAAAATTATCAACTTAAAAATAAATTATATTTTAATATATATATATATATATATATATATATATATATATATATACTCTCCAAAGTATAAATTATTTTCATTTCTGTTTGAAAAACTAATTGATTATTTAAAATTTAATCAATTATTTAGAAAAATAACTAGGTTCTCGAGTATGAAAAACTAATCGATTACTTTTTGAAATAATCGATTAGTTTTTTAAAATATAATAGCGGTTAAACTGGAACCGCTATCATAAGTCACTTGTAACAACTGAAACCGCTATCATACGAGTCACTTTTAAGAGCGGTTAAACTGAAACCGCTATCATATATATATTTTGCATAAATTAGAATAATAATTATCAACTTAAAAATAATTTATATTTAATATATATATATATATATATATATTCTAAAATATAATTTATTTTAATTTCTATAATATATATATAAATGAAAATAAGTTATATTTTGGAATATATATTTTATATTATAGTAATTAATATAAATTATATTTTAGAATATATATATATATATATATATATAATTTTACATCAAAATATTATTTCTATTTATATACAATTATATAATTTTTTTAACTATAATTTTTAAGGTAATAATTTTAAATATAATTTTTTTAACTTTGTATTTATAATTTATATAATATATATAATTTAAAAATATTTTTTTTAATTTTAATTTGATATATTTTTTTATTTATAATTATTTAATATATATTTGAAAAACTAATTGATTATTTAAAAATTAATCAATTATTTAAAAAAATAACTTGTTCTCAGTATGAAAAACTAATCGATTACTTTTTGAAATAATCGATTAGTTTTTTAACATATAATAGCGGTTAAACTTGAACCGCTATCATACAATCACTTTTAAGAACGGTTAAACTGAACCGCTATCATATATATATTTTGCATAAATTAGAATAATAATTATCAACTTGAAAATAATTTATATTTAATATATATATATATATTCTAAAATATAATTTATTTTAATTTCTATAATATATATATAAATGAAAATAAGTTATATTTTGGAACATATATTTTATATTATAGTAATTAATATAAATTATATTTTAGAATATATATATATATATATATATATATATAATTTTACATCAAAATATTATTTCTTCTTATATACATATAATTTTTAAGATTTTTATTATCTTCCTAATTTATTATTAATTTCTAAAAAAATTATAATATCAAATGAATCAAAAAATTAAAAAAAGTTTAATCATACAAATAAATTTAAATATAATATTTAATAATATATTTTAAAAATATTAATTTACTACTTTCAACAATAAATCTAAATATATTATTAATTTTAGAAATATATAAATCTTTTTAAATACCTAATTTAAAATTATAAATGTTAAATAAAATATTATAACATATTATATATATATATATATATATATATATATATATTAGTTAGTTTTTTTTAATAAAAAAAAAACTATTTGTTGTTAAAAAATCGAATTCTAAATTATTTTAAAAAATTATAAAATATAATTATATTTAAATTTCGTACTCATAAAAATCGAATTCTCAACTTATATATAAATAAATAAAAATAAAACCTAAAGGTAACTGAGTAATTAGAAAAAATTTCTCAACAAAGAAGACCATTTATTATCAGAAGGTACAGATGGATGAAAAATAGGTACACGTTCAATCAAATGAGAATACAGTAAAAACCATAATTCCCAAATTGTGCAGACCAATTAGACAAATTAATGCATGACAGCAAATGTACGGACTGAACAATCATTTCTACGTACAGTCTACATGCAGTCTACGTGCAGGTCTACGTTTGCAGTTATCCTTCCTTTGTACTGAGGACTGATTTAAGAGAGTAAAAAAAAATAAAAAATCATTTAAATTAAAAAATAATAAAAATAAATGAAAAGTGCAATTAATTTATTTATTATTTTTATTATATTTTTAATATATTTTTTTAATTATTTATTATTAACATAAGAATATAAATATATATTATTAAATTTTTTTAACATAATCATAATCGATTATGTATACAAATGTAAAAAAAGTTTGCTTTTTACACTTTTCTTTTCTTCGCTCTTTTGCAGCGAAAGGTTTTTATCTTAATTTTATAACTTTTTTACGTAAAAACGTGTGAAATCGCATTTATTCGCATCATTCCGCTGTTGGTCGAAACATACATCCTGTTGGTCTGATTGAAGTGTTTAATACTTGTAGTTGCCGTTCCTGTATCATCTTTCCTACTTATATTGAATGCTTCGATTTCTGTGTTGGATCAGCTATTATGACACCTTCTGATTCTTAAAAACCAGACAAACCCATACCCAATGCAGTGCAGTAGGTTTAATGTTTGGTCCGGAGAAGTAATTAGACAGTTTTAGAACACAGTAAACTTTCCATAAACTTCATAGAATATTTTAGTTAAAATTTTAATTTTTTATGAAAATATTAGTAATATTTAACTATGTTAGAGATTCATGGGTACTAATTATACTGATCTTGCAATTAGGAGTCACATAGAACTCAAGCTTTGATCGAAACTTATTATATGATTCATGGTCCCTGCAATAAGGAGTTACATAGAACTCAAGAATTAACTGAAACTTACTACATGATCCATGATCCTTGCAAATAGGAGTTACATAGAACCCCAACTTAACCTTTAAACACACAATAACATACTGTCATACACATGACATTTATTCAAACACGTCTATTTATAATTAAGCTGCATGGAGTTCTGCAGAAGAAATTTTCACAGTTTCAATAAAAGGGCTTCCTTCGTTTGCCATAGATTTCCTTTTCAGACGCAACTGTCTCTCTGCATATAATTTCTCAGCCAACCTTCATCAAATTTTCCAAAAAATAAATAAATTATTAAATCCTCTCACAATTTGCATTCAACAAAAAAGATGAAAGATAAAATCTTTCTTGAGAACGAGAGTGTAAGTACCTGTCAAGAGCTTCAGCATTTGTTTGGTCTATTTCATATGGGATAAAAGTGTTGATGTTTATCCTCGAAACATTTTCCTGCAACAGGTTTTTTCCTACCTCTTCAAGTTCTTCCATGTTTTTTGGATCAGCATTATCCATTTCTCCTAGAGATGGATCCAGGTTATACTCCTGCCAATGCATATGTTCGTTCATCAAGATCGATTCAATTTCCTCTTATAATATTAAGCTTTAAATTCACTGACATAACTAGAACCATTATCGTTCCTGTTTCGATCAATTTTCTTGATAAGAACTTGTACAAAAAGAGAAAGAAAAAGTGAATTGAATTTTTCACATATACCTCAATTCGAAGATAGTTATCTGGAGGCAAGAGGCCAGGGAAGACTGTTGCAAGGTAGTAATGGATCATGTTTGTACTATAAAGAGCCTCACTAACAACGTCAATGCTGTTTATTAGCCATCCAACTTGACACACAACATCAAAGATGCCAGTTAACTTGTTCTTCTGTGTTGTTCCAGTTCCTAACGACAGCAACAGGATTTCTTTATTCTCACTGTGTTGTATCACTTCACTCACAGCAACCACAGCCTATGATCAAATTTAATTTCATCTCGTCAAAATTTTTCACGAATCATATTTGTGCGTGTATTACAAAATAGACTTTAAACATAATTTAATCTTAGAAAATCAAATAAAAAATAATTTTTATATCCACTTATATATATATATATATATATATATATATATATATATATATATATATATATATATATATATATATTAGTTAATATGGGGTCTCTAATATGGAAAACGATTAATATTGAACGCAATCTTTCATATTATTAATTAGACAAGAGACATGTAACCTTTTGCACACACTAAACCCTAAAAAGTATCATCAATAAGGTGAAATAGGGCTTGAGTTCAAGTAGATGTCTACAAGAAATTATATATTCAATTCTAAATACGTGATAATTAATGGTAGATTCTAATTAATTTTTCTTGAGTGATATTAAGAAAATGAAAGAAAAAAGATTTTCTAAAGCATTCCCCTATATTATTTTAAAAATATATGTCTATAAAGTTTTCAATAAAAAAATTATTTTTAATTTCTTACTTAAGTGGTGTCTTGAAAGAACTAATTAGCAAGACCCTTTACTTATATATTATATATAGTTGAATAAGTGAACTTCATTAATTATATATGTAATCCTCTAAAACCATGTCTGGTTTAACTTAATTTGATAAAATCATCTCTTGATGGAAATAACATTTAAAATATTTTAAGATATTGTACGTTATAATTTCTGTATATTTAAGTTTGCGAAATTTACTGGATTATTAGCAGCCATAGCACCATCCAGCAAATCAAATTCAACACCATCATTCTCAAATTGGTGAGATGGAAGATAAGTTGGTGCAGCCGAAGTTGCGAGGGCTATATCTGAGAGTTTCGCATTCAAATAAGTTGCTGTCTTCAACTGCATCATCAAAGTATCACAAACAATATTCAAAAGTTAATTAGCCTTAAGGTTATTCATATTTACATATACAATAAATTAAAAGATATTGTTTCTTTCAATACTTTCATCACATCAATTACTTTTGGTTTTAACTTTCTCTCTAATTAATAAAATGATTAAACAAGAAATTTGTATGAAAGAATTTCTCGACATATATTAATGAAACTCGAATTAGGGTTCTTTTATGGATATAATTTCTACCATGCTAACCTTAAAGTTTGAGAATATAACTGGCTTGATTTTCCTCTCGTCGAAGGATGTTATTACCACGTTCGTCAATGTTTGATTCAGTCTTGTGTCCTTCAATAACTTTCCAGTTATATCTCGTAAGAACACTCCATCATACTTGGGACATTTTTCAGGATCATACCATGCTCTGCATTGCGTCACCAAAGAATTCAAACGTTTCAACAAATTAAAGTAATTCAACCGTCTCAGTTAATACATATTAGTTGATCATTGATTTTGAAGAAAACTTAAATTTCTGGACGACATACTATTTAGGTACTCTTTAATGGAGGGTATTTTTTTGAGATTTATATGTATTCTCTAGCTGAGACTTGTCAGGTGTAAATTTTATCTTTGTTATATTGAGATTGCTTCTGAAGCTATTCTCTTTCTGCTCTGCTGATGTTCTTGAACTTTTGCGATTTGCCTAGTTTTTTTCTTGTAGGCTAGTTTGAGATTCAGTTAAACTTTCCTATCTACACTTTCAAATCTAGAATTTAATCATTACCAAACATGTCTCAGATAAATTGGAAGCATGTGCTGACTCAAATTAACACAAGTGTGAGTGTTTCATTGTTAAAAGCCGTCATAAAGAATCGTCATCTTTATTATATTTTGCATCAGAATAATCTAAACCTTTCAGAAAATTAATGGCAAGAGTAATATTGAACCATTTCAGTTAAATTAAATTTGATATATATACCTAGGTTTAAATATTTCAGGACCATATTTCTTGTAGAATTGTAGGACTTGGGAGGGATTAAAGAGAGGATGCTTGGAGTGAGGTGAGGTTGGCGCTGCTAACATAGCAGTCATGAGTCCACCAGTGCTTGTTCCTGATATCACATCAAAATAATGTGCCAATGATGTTGTTGGATCCTTAGCCTGCATATTTACCAAGCTCTGAATGTTAAAATGTGCTACTCAGCCACTGTTTTTTACTCAATGAACAGATATTTTATGAGTCCTACTCAATGAAGCATTCAGAAGATTATATTGGACTTATCGATGAACTATGCATCTCCTCAGAGCATGTAAATGTAAAGAGAAGAAATATTTGACTATAAGGAAATTTACTTGGAAAGAGTAAATACGATTAAGAAATTTTCCTATTAAAAAACCCCTAATAGTCTCATACTCCTTTGAAAGTATCATCTGACTATTAGGCAACATAATATTTCACCATAATTAGAAGATTATATAATGTTTTAATATTAAGAAGTAACTACTTTTCTTTTAAAGGCAGTAGACAACTAGTTAATCAAAATTTTGTCCAGAATTAAGGTTTTAAGCTCTAAAACCATTTCCACCACACACAAAAATAAAAAGACATAATTAACTACATGATGAACCTTAAGAGCATTGTCTAAGTATTCAAGAACTGTTGCAGGAATAATGCCTCTGATGCCACCACCGTCTATGCTCAGAACGGATGTACGGTTTCCATAAGATGGTGGTGGTAAAGATGATGGTGATGCAGTGATTCCAGCCATAAGCTGGCTAGAAAACACCAAAGCAAACAAGAGCAGTGTAGCCATTGATTGAATGTTTCAAGAAAATAAGAGAATGGAAGTTAAAGGGTGTAAAGGAGAGAATGAGATTGAACAACTTGAGGATTCCTCTCAAATCTGAAGGGTATTTATAGGCTTTTCCGTGACCATTCAGTATGGTAAAAAAATTATTTATATTTTTTTTTTCCTCACACAATGTGAAGGGCGTGCATGATTAGGGCTACCTACACTAGTGCGGAAAAGTCCTGAGTGTATGGGAAAATATTTAAAGATACATGGCCATCTCTAACCTAATTTCGTAGTTATTTTAATGATACAATTTAAAAAATATATAGAGTGAGACAGTTCAAGAAAAAAGTACCTGTGTTGCATTGGATAGAAGACGATTGATGCATCCACAACGATTTTGTTGAAATCAAAATCGTAATTTTGGCTCCAATTGGAACCAAATTCTTACTACAAAGTAAAAAAAATTATAGCTTATGATATAGGGATTACTTTTTTTACTTGTACCATCTCATATGTTACAATTTGACCGTGATTTGATTCCTCAACTACCAACAATGGATGTAATTTATAACAATATTGTTGAGATGAAAATATTTGTTTAACTAAATTATAGGTTTGTATAGCTGTACAAAATAGTAAATAATTAGAACTTACTTTATTTAGTTCTGATTTATAGGAGTAAAATACTATAAAAACATGGTATCTCGTATCAAAAAGATATATGAATAAAATTATATAATAAATTCTATGTTTTTCAATTTGGTACCAAAACTTAGAATTTTTTCTTTTTCTTTCTAAATCCTTGAAGATCTTAATTGGAGAGATGACAGAAAAACCAATTTCAGTGGTAGTTCAATTTGAAAGTATCTTCAACATAGGCATAATCCTAAATGAATCCAACTATGACGTATGATCACAATTAATAGAGATGCATATTGCAAAGAGGGAAAAATTGTCCTACATCCGTGGAAAAGTGAAACCTCCAATAGAGAAAGATGACTATTGATGTCTATGAAGCCAGAAATCATGAAAATGTATCTTCACTTACTCACTGCCCTCGATATTTGGAATGCTTTGTCAAAATGATGGAAGTGATGAACTACAGGTGTTTATCCTGAATCAAAGGACATTCACTGCAAAACAAAATAATAGAACCCTAACTGAATATTATGGGGAGTTGATTGAGATTTTTAGGGAATTGGACCATCGTGACAAAGTAGTCATGAAGGACCCTGATGATGTGAAGTCATATCAAAAGTCCATTGAAAGATTGATGGTGCATATATTTCTTGCTGGACTGAATGATGATTTTGAACAAGTTCGTAGAGAAATCTTGAGCAAAGAAGTGACACCTGATTTAGAAGAATGCTATGCATTAATCCGAAGAGAGACAGTCCGACGAACATAGTTGAAAATAAAATATCTAATTTCTGATTCCATAGCTATGATGATAAGGAAGTAAGTGAAGTAATCAAAATGTCCTGAAAAAGGTAACTACAAGTGTACTCAGTGTAATAAGGATGGACACACCAAGGAACGATGCTATGAAATCATAGGATACCCCGAGTGGTGGGATCACAGTCGAGCATCGAAGAAGAATTAAAAAAGAAATCCAACTACTGTTGTAACTGCCATTGACAAAGAGGACGACAAATAAATGATGCTTGCTACAACCACAGGTAGTGATGATTCCAATGATAAGGCCTGAATAAACACATCTGAATAATGCATGGATAATTGACACTGCATGTTCTGATCATGTGACTTTTGATGTTAGACAAATTAAAAATCTTAAACCTTCCTCGAAAAAAAGTATTTCCACAGCCAATGGTAGTAAATCCACTATCATTGGAGAAGAATCTGTCTCTATTTCAAACAATTTGAACCTTGATACTGTCCTTTTTGTTCCTTCTCTTAAATATAACCTATTATCGGTCTCGCAAATAACCAAAACTTTTTCATGTGTTGTAATTTTTGGGTCTGACTCTTGTATTTTTAAGGACATTCAAACGAAGAAAACGATTGGTTGTGATATTAGGCGATGTAGACCCCAAATCTTGTCCAACTTCACAATAAAGACCAGAAAACCTTCACTCTGAAGAAGAATAAAGTTTCATAGGGCCTCTAGTAGTGTTTACTAGGTCTTAGATAGAATAAGGAGGGATTTTTGGGGAAATAAAAAGTCATTTTGTATTAGGGAAGTAGTGGATGACCGTCCAGTAGAGACAGACAGTCGTCCACTAGCTATGCACGACCGTCCACCTTGACCAGATGGCCATCCATCCCAAAAATGAGGCATGGACGACTGTTCATGCTAGATAGATGGCCGTCCATCCTCAATTTTGGCCATGGACGACCGTCCATGATGGCCAGACGGTAGTCCATGTTTTCTTGGCTCGCTTCCCTATAAATAAGAGCCTAATTTCTCGTTTTTGACACACTATTCACTCCTACTACTCTCTAGGAAGTCTTTTGACACTTGAGAGTGACTCTGAGCATTATTCCAGAGTTTGAGTGAGCTTTTCGATTTTCGTGAAGGTAGAAATCGGTTAAGGAGGTCTCCTTTTGAGACATCTGACCCTCAGTAGAGTGATATTTTCTCTTTTGCGGGTGAGGAGCGTGCTTGTAGAGCAAGGGGTAGCCAAAAAACATCCTCAAGTCTTGAAGAGTTAATATAAAGCTCGCTTCGGAGGTATTCCTTCCCCATTCTCTCTCTTTTATTGCTTTCTTTATTGTTTTCCTTGTATGCATTAGATACTAGGGCCATGTAGATATTTAAATTCTGCAAGTAGATCAATAAATAGGGTAAAAACATAGTTTCTTTAGGTCTTTATTTTATGAACTAGTCCATCATAGGAACTCAAAAGGGGCGTTGTGGGGTGCTAACACCTTCCCCACACGTAATAACTCCCTTACCTAACTCTGGTTATAACAGCCAAAGTTGATTTTTTCTAAACCAATGCCTTCTTTTTTCCTTTTTCGATGTTTATGGTAAAAACATCAGTGACGAATCCATAGAACCCTTTACGAAAACCTCGCCTTTAGGTTCAGCCCGGTTATCGGACAACCTAAAAGCGTTGAACACATCTTTAGAAAATGCGAGTCATTTAAAATTATCGCGTCGCTCCGACCGCCTCTTTTGACGGTGGTGACAGATTGCGACTCCGCTGGGGAAGCTAGAGAGTTGATCCCATTTAGTAATGGACTAGTTCAAGAAATATAAACTTGAAATTATGCTTTTACCCTTCCTTGTATTTATAACATGATTTATTCTATGGTTTTAATAACTGTTGTATGTTTACTTTTTGCAATTGTTTGAAATAACAATTGTACACAAACCTTTACACACAACAGTTCCCCCTATACCCGGGGGCATGAGGGATAACCTTAGGGAGTGGGTGGTGTTAGAAAAAGAGGCTGAGATCAAGAGGGGGGCTGAATTGATCTTTGAAAGATTTTCGCAATTAACAGATTATCTATTTCAAAAATTAAGATTTCAGATCTGTTCTTGAATCACACAACAAGCAATCAAAAAAGAAATGCAACAACAGAATTAAAGAAGAGAAAGGTTTAGAAAGATATCACCAAGGTTTATACTGGTTCACCCAATCCCAGGGCTACGTCCAATCTCCAGCCAAATTCCAGCTGGGTTCCACTAGATTGAATATTTTACAGATTACAACCTTAACCTTACACTCAATCTACCACAAGAACCACAATTCCAGTTCCTGCACCTAACCTTTCACCAAGAACCAAATTCCAGTTCTTGACAACCTCTACAACCAAATTCTAGCTGCAGAGAAACCAGTGCCTACAATTCTAGGCATCAACAATACATAAAAGAATGTAAAGAAACAAACAGAAGAAACTAGAATGCTCAAACCAGTTTTATGCAATTCTGCAGTATGTTGTTTCTTCTCAAAAGAATGCAATTTTGCCTGAAGAAAGAATTCTTTTGAACTTCACAAAAACTAGCACGAATCTTTCTTGGAAGAAGTACTTTTGATTGCTTGAATGATTGCAAAAGGATGTGTATCAGATCTATTTTAAAATGATCAATCAACTCTGTTTATATAGAAGATTTTCAAAACTACTGGTTTAATTAATCTGTTAAAATAATCTTTTAATATGTTAAAAGCCTTGTTTTAATCTGTTAAAACTTCTTTTAATCCATTAAAACGTTCTTGATTATTTTCCAGATTTGTTTTAACTGATACGACAACGTTTATATCAATTAAAACTCTTTGCAAAAAATCTTCTAATTTGATTTAATCGATTGTTTCGTGTTTCAATCGATTAAAATACTGCAAAACTTTCTTGTAAACTTTTCCAAGTGATTTTAACTGATAAAAATATGTTTTAATCGATTAAAACGTTGTGTAGAAATTTCCTTAAGTTGTTTTAATCGATTAAATAATCGATGGAAACGTGATTTAATCGATTAAAATAATTCTGATCGGTCATAACTCAATTCTGATCGATCATATCTGATTTTGATCGGTTATAAACGTATTCGATCGGTCATACTTGTACTCTAAGTGGTTTTAATCGATTGTTTCAAAGTTATATCGATTAAAATACTGCCAAAACACTTCTCTAGTGATTTTAATCGGTTATTTCGAAGTCAGTATCAGTTAAAATACTCGACGAAGGTTTTCAAAACTTTCTTTAATGAAAACAATCGGTTATTTCGAAATTATATCGGTTAAAACCTTGTTATAAAATTGTTAAGAACATTTTAGTTGATAAAGCTTATATGCTATTAGTTAAAAATAGTTAATTCAAAAGCTTTTATCAAAATACTTTGTTTTTAACTGTTTAAACGTTTTTAGAGGCATTTTGCAAAATCTTTTAAGTGAAGAAACCTTATGCAGCAGAAAAGATAAAAATGATTATACCTAAGCAGAGCTGCAAACACACTAATCCCTCTACTCTTTTATCTAAGTGACTTTTGACTGCTACAAAGTTGCCTTTGACTTCATTCTTGACTTCATCAAATCAACAAGATCTTTGCCAGA